TTAATCTGTTTATCTGATGCGATAACAAAAAGTGAACATACACAATCAAAGTCACGAATTCTTGAAGAATATAAGAAATTGTTAAATCGTCGAATTCCTCAAAGAATCACAAAAAATCATCCAAAAGGCGTCTATACACTTGAAATGGAAGGTGCGTTTTGTTACTTACCTTACCCACATTTTAAAGATTCGATTCTAAGCATGATGGATACCATCCTTGAGAGATATTGTATCCTTTTAATTCGGGTGTTTCAAAACATGATAGAGCACGATTTCATTGATACCCTTAACGAGAGATTCCCAAACAGTCTTGCCAAGTAGAGGATTACTTTTGTGCGGACAATTACGTTTTCCTATTAAAGTATATCCTGTACTCCCTGATGTAGACTACGGTAAAATCTCGTCAATTTAAATCGAATGTTAAAATATCTCTTTGGTATTTTATTGATAATATATAAATATTTTTTCTATAGTTCATGAAATGACAAAGACATTGTCCATTGTTGCATTTAAATCAAAGGAAAAATTTCTTATAGAACCATCTATTCTTCGACTATGGATATTTATCGATGAAGAATATGACGACAAAAAAGAGGAGGTAAACATGAGAAATGAATTTTTTTTCCTAGACTTTATCTTCTATCATTATATGAAAAATCTCTTGAATTATATTGTAGGATAAACCTTTACAAAATCATTCTGAATTTTTTCCTGTATTAGGGGAATGTCTCAGAAAAGAAAATCGTGTCGCGATAGTTTGGATGAAAGGTGATAATTACGCTACAATCGAACCTCCTCCGATTACAGATGATCAAGATCCCAATGAGCAAGGTTCATGTAAGTTTCCATATGAGGATGCATATGGAAGATAGTGTTTGAATTTTAAATCTTAATCTTCTACCTTAGTTATGTACTTCACCATATATAAATCTGAAAAAGGAAATAATTTGTTATCAAAATCGTCATCGTCATCTTCAATAACGCAACCACCGAAAAGCTATGTTTCCGGATATATAGATTTACCAACGCCCGAGCATGTTGAGGTAACATGTCGCAAATTAATTTCATTATGATTGTTCTCATTAGTTGAACTACGAAAATTCATTATTATTTTAGAGTTTGTTAAATAAGATGTCGCGCTATCTCATAAATTTACCTGATGACGCTCTGAAATTAAAGAACGTGTAAGTGGATTTTAATGAAAATTATATTTAAACATTTTTTTTTTAATGATTAATTTATATTTTATTGCTCATCATCAAATTGGTACAAGGGTTCAACAAATGCAACAGATTATAGAGATCTTTAGTTACAGACCACTCAAAGAGCAAGTTATCGATAGGTTACATGATGTCAGGTAAGTACTACAAATTATTTTCACAAAGATTTAATCATGTATTAAG